AATTCTTATCATTTTGATGGTCTTCTGTGATATCTCATTCTTTCAAGTTAAGGATTTAAGTTGGCAGACAGTCATTCTCAATTTTAGGTTACATCTGTCATTGAAATTTGGGTTGATTGAAAGTCAAATGAGAAAGAAGCATAGTTCCTTCTCACGAATGTTTTTCCTTGCAGGTGGGAGTCCCAAGGGAAGGGAGATGACAGATATACATTCCTAGGAAGATAAGAGTTTTAGTCACTTAGCATTTCTCTTATCACTGATCTGGATCATGTTTCCATTTAACTGTAGTTGCTGTCAGTGGTTAAATGTACTCATAGACTGGAATACCTTCTTAACTAAGATAAGTAAGCCACAAGGTTTTGTTTTGTTTCAGTTACTGTATGCTTGCTTAACTTTGAGAGTAAATTTATAATCTGATCACAGTAATCCCTTGTGTTTTTAATTCTTAGATGCATTGCTAAGCATACTGCGTTAGCATAAACCAATCAGACGTATTGGAGGAGGGTTCTGATGAATGGGTGAGCAAAGGTTTCGTTTGTTAGGAAGATCTGTTATTACACAGAATTATAAAGTGACCCTAAAGTTTCTCTAATTCAGCCCTTTTCATTGCGCACGCGCGCGCACACACACACACACACACACACACACACACACACACAAAGTCAAGGTCCTTAAAGTTTATTTTGGATTCACTCAAGACATTTCTTTCTTTAAAAAAAATTTTTTATTCTTAAGTTTTAGGTGGACACAATATCTTCATTTTACATTTATGTGGTGCTGAGGATCGAACCCAGTGCCTCATGCATGCTAGGTGAGCATTCTACAACTGAGCCACAACCTTAGCCCCTCATCCAAGACATTAATGACTTAAGATGATATAACAAGCCGGGTGCAGTGGTGCATGCCTCTAATCCCAGCAGCTCGGGAGGCTGAGACAGGAGAATCATGAGTTCAAAACCAGCTTCAACAAAAATGAGGTGCCAGGCAACTCAGTGAGACCCTATCTCGAAATAAAATACTAAATAGGGCTAGGGGCGTAGCTCAGTGGTTGAGTGTCCCTGAGTTCAACCCTGGCCTCCTCCCCTCAAAAAAAATGATATGACAAGTCTTCTGAATGCTCTTCCACAGCACTGTACCATAGGTTGAATATCCCCAATTTGACGATCCAAAATCCAAGATTCTCTAAAATTCAAAACTTTTTGAGCATTGACAATATATTAGTCAAAATAGTTTAAGATTTTGGAACATTCAGGATTTCAAATTATCAGATTAGGGATACTCAAATTGTAAAGTGTATGTAAATATTCCCAAATCCAAAAAAATCTAAAGTCTGAAACACTTCTGGCCCCAAGCATTTCTTTAAGGGATAGTCAGTCTATACTTATGTTCTCCTTCTTTGAATTCTTTGTTTGATTTTCAGTTACTCTTTTTTACCCAGCTCCTTTTTTTCACTAATAGGCATGCAACCAGTGTTTGAAGGAATGCTCAAGAGCTGCAGTTTTTGGACCTGTATCCAGGGCTGGGTAGGGATTTGCTTTCTGTTGACAGTACTGTAAGGCAAAGATCTAGCTGAAAACATTTTCCCAGTATTTGACCTGATCTTGTGTACTGTTTCCTCCCAGGGTAGAGATTGATCAAGGTTAAATGGTTTGTGCCCATTGTGGAACAACTATTGGCCAGATGACACTTATTATAGCTCTGTCATCTCCAAGGACCACATTACTGATAGCATTCAATTGGCACAAAAGAGTGGAATAGCATGGATGGGAGAGTCTTGTGAAGTGAACCTGTAAGTGCTGAATATCACTTTGGCCAAAGTTCATTTATGTAACCACAGCTAAACCCAGGAGCTGGAAAATGTACATTTGTCCCCATGGTTATACTAAAATTTGAGCAACATTTTGGACATCTGTGTCATCTTTGAACTAAAATGCACCTGTAGCCCAACTTTGAGATTTAGAAGGGCTTTGCAAAGTTCCATGGTAAATTTTACTTGGTTTAAGTTTTCTTGCCAATGAAAACCAAGGAACATTAGGAAGATTATGTTTTCAACTACAAGTAAACAAAACCAGGACTTAACACTATATACTTAATATGATTTCAACTGTTAGATATTCTTAAAAGATTCATAAGGAAACATGACAGCTAATTAATTGTGGTTACACTTCAGTGATGATATAATCAGTGATATTTCTTTTAGCCTGCTGCTTTCTATTTTTCTGTATTTTACGAAATCTCTATCTTGAACCTGTTTTACTTTTTTTTTCCAACTTGGAATATTGTTTTTTTCTCACAATGCAAGAGCCTTATTTTGTCTTTTTGTATGCATACTTATGATTTACTGAGATAGAATTTGCTTCTCAGAACTTTATATATATATGTGTGTGTGTCTTCACGTGTTCCTTTCATTTGTTAAAGTCAGCTCGATGCCAGCCTGTGTTGTTGGTATCAAGGAGTAATCACTAAAGAAAACAAAATCCGTCCTTCATAGATCTTATATTCCAGTGAGGAAACAGGTAAAGAAGCAAAATAGCATGTAAGATGGTGATAAATGCTAAGAATGAAAAAATAAAGTGAGAAAAGGAATGTGAAATGTCAGTGGGATAGAAATTATAGATACAGTGGTCTGGGAAGGCCTTCTTAGAAAGGAATTTTTAACATAAAGACCTATGGCTAGAGGCTGGGGTTGTGGCTCAGCGGTAGAGTGCTTTCCTAGAACATATGAGGCCCTGGGTTCAATTCTCAGCACCACATAAAAATAAATTCTTTTTAAAAAAAGGTATTGTGCCCAATTACAACAACAACAAATATATATATATATATATATATATTTGTTGTTGTTGTAATTTGTTTGTTTTTAAAGACCTCAGTAGGCTAGTACAGAGCTAGTCAAACTCCTTATGACTGTTAACTAGTGACAATCACATACCCAAAATCATATTTATTATCAATCTGCTCATATTCATCTGGATAACTAAAATCTTATTTACTTGTTTCTGTTGTTAGCTGGAGGACACATACAGATCTATACTCCTTAAAAACAACTCATAATTTTTTCAGACTCCTGCAGGCTGTGTCCTCAAAGCTTGAGGCAATACAATAGTTAACTTTCTTCTGCCTATTCTAATAAACTACACACTAATATTTTGTAAGATTTTAGTCGACATCTTGTCAAAACTCCATAGTTACCCTTCTATATATGAGTAGAGAGAGCTTATCATTTGTCTCAGGTCAGATCAAGTCATTACTGGAAATTGCCCATGACAGCCAGACTGCAGCCCAGAGCAAAGGAAATAACAAATGTGAAAGTACTCTGCAGGACTCTAAGGAACTATATAGAAAAAAAGGTTTTTTTTTTGAGTAAAAATCATTTATTTCAAACTCACCAAGCCTGATAAGGGATCGCAAAATGTTATTTGTGTGAAGTCTGAGTATTAGTGGCACAATTAAAATGCAGTTTCAGTAATACTTTCTTCCCATATCCCAAAATAACTCGGTCTCTGAACTCTAGATCTTGACTACAGTCTTTCATCCAAGGAAAGCTTTCCTAAGGAAGACTGAGGAATGAGATTTTTGCCCTCAAGTTTTATTTTTACCCATTATCTTTTTCTTTTCCTGATTTTCTGCCTTTCAGTATCATTTTTGAACCCTTTATGAGGTAGGGGTTGGGGCATAATTTGCCTGATTTTCACATTTCATTTGGGGAATTAATTAAAGGTTTTAAGGTTTCTTTTCTTATGTTGGCATATTGCCAAGAGTAAGAAGGCATGAAGAAGTTGGGCAAGTCATAAAATAATTATTGGAACAAAGTAAGGCAGTTCAGATTCCTGAGTTTCTGATATCTCATCTCTTAATTCTCTTGAAGATCTGAATTTTTTTTTTCCTTTACTGAGATATTTAGATACATTATTTGAACAAAAGAAACAGAGTTACTTCAAAATGTCCAGTATGTGGTAATGGAAACATTGGCAATAGTCTGCTCATTGTTTGTTCTGTGCAACAGGAAATGGAGAGTAATAAGGAGCTGGAGAAGGCTATGTCATACAGAAGGAAATAGACATGTGCACACAATTTTGATTGGTAGATTTCTAATTGCAGATCTAGGTTCACCTGAGCAGGTTCCTATTCCTAATAGACATGGAGATGTTTGGTTTGATTTTATCTTATCATTTGACTTTTTTTTTTAAAGATCTTTTTTTTAAATATCTTTCTTTTTAGTTTTAGGTGGACACAATATCTTTATTTTATTTTTATATGGTATTGAGGATTGAACCTGTGCCTCGCGCATGCCAGGTAGGCGCGCTATTACTTGAGCCACATTCCCAGCCCTCATTTGACTTTTGATGTCGATTTATCATGGATTTTTATTTTCCTTGTGGCCAGAAATGGTTTCTTGAAATACTTCATTTTAGATTCCAGTTTTCACATGTAGTTATAATTCATTGAGTGAGATGGAACTATGAAAAAAGGAAATGTCACTAACAGACTTCAGTGGCTTCAGACAGTTGAGAGTAATTTGAGGTGGTGGCTCTTGAAATCAGGAGATCTGAAATCTAGTCTTAACTCTCTCAGGACCAACTGTATAAATTTAGGCAAATTGCTTAGTTACTCTGGAGCAGGCTTCATCTGTCAAAAGAGGAGGTAGGATTCAAAGATCTCTCAAGACCCTTGCAGCTCTAAAATTTTTTGTTCTAACAAAATTTGTTCTAAATGGTAGGGTGAAGGATTATAAATTGTATATATGAAGTGTCAGAATATAAAAGGTACAAACAGACTTTGTTGGTGAAAATGTTTTTCAAGCTTATCTGCTAACAGATAGTTTATTTACTTTGGTGTATTCCTAGTTTTTGTTTTCTAAAGGTCCATACTACATCTGGTGATTTGTTACTTTTGTTACTAAAAATATAAAGGTTGATGGTTCACTTTCCACTCTACCTGAAAACATTAAAACTTGCCATATGAATTCATTGTTAAGGTTTTTTTTTTTTTTTTTTTTTTTTAGAGACAAGGTCTCACTGATTGCTTAATGCCTTCCTTAGGCTGACTTTAAATTTGTGATCCTCCTGCCACTCAACCTCCCATGCCACTGGGATTACAGGCATTTGCTACTGTGCCCAGCTCTGTTAAGGATTTGAAAAGGTATTAAATGCTTTTGCTCAACAGGGTATGTGTTTAATTTAAGTGAATTGGCATTTGAATTAATTAGCTCTGTAGAAAACACAGGCAGGGGTCTGGTGGAAAAGCATGGCTTTGAGTTTTATCTTCATTGCCAATAGTAGTAGTTATGTGGTCCAAACCTCATCTTTAGTAGGAGAAAATTTTCCCTACGGGATTGTTGTGAGAAATAAAGGTAATAATATATAAAGTACATGATACAATATCCGACATTAGATATTCCATGGATAATAGTTGAAACTTATTATATACTATTTTATTACATTAGTTAAAACAACTAGGGAACCATTGAAAAACACATAATGAAGACTGCCATCTTTGTCATCCTACTGTGATAGGCAGAGATTACCAAAAGAAATAGTTCTACTAGGATAGATTTCTTTCTTTCTTTTTTTTTTTTTTTTTGTTAAAACAGGTAGACTGAGACTTGCTAGAGAAAAGGTACACATATGAGAATATCTAGCAGGAGTTTATTCTTAAAAGTTGCCATTACAGGCTATTCAGAATTCTTGTCTTCAAAACTATTGTGTCCATCCCCTTCTTCCTGAATGAGTGAGCAGATTATTAAATACTGACATCAGAATTCTTGAGCATATGTGAATGAGCAGTGTTTGGCAACTGCCTCTGTTTGAAATGCATCTGTGTGTTGGTTGTGATCTGAAGCATCTCTTTTTTCCATGGAGCGCTCACCATTCATATGACAGATTTGGTAAAATGCTAGTTAGGTTGAGTCTTGCTTGCCTCCACTTGGTCACCTTTGTATGGAGCCAAAGTTTCACTTTTTTTCCTCCTTTTTTTTTTTTTTTTAAATGGTTTTTAGTCGATGTTCATGAAGAGGGTGAGTACTTGGAACTCTGCTGCCAATGAAAGGAAATCCTAAGGAAGTACATCTCTTTACAGACCTGTGCCATACTGTCCTTTGGGCCCTCTGCTGGAAAAGGGAATCAAGTCTCAAATAATTGCCTTTTTAATTGTATCCTCTAGTATTATATATTTAGGACTGTACTGTGAATGTAAAACCTCTTGTACCTGCCTTATGGTATGCAGTACTGACCGTGCTTTATCAGAGCTGTTTTTAATGATGTTACTCTAGAATGTTTTCTTTTCAGATGATGATTGAGAACCTAATAAAAAAAAATGGTGCCAGGTATCCCAACAGTGACAGAATTTTACTGTTTTCTTGTTTTTTTTTTTTACCTCCACTCCCCCCCCCTTTAATGGAGTATGCTACATGTCTCTATAATTTTGTTTAGATGACTGCAGAACTTGAAAAAGCTGTTGAAGCTATTGATACATGACATACTGCTATTGTTGGTCTTTTTAATATAAATACACACACACACATATAATTTAAATTTTTGGACACTTTAGCTGTGCTGTCAACTTTGGAAAAATTATCCCAGTTTACCATGTTGATTTGTCATTGTACAGAAATTAACAACCATATTGGTCTAGAAATGTTAAACTTAATTTTTTTCATTTGTACAGGGGTAATAATACACTATATTAAATATGTAACGTCTTATCTGTGTGGGTTTGATTACAGAAACTAATAAAGTATTCTATAAATGATGAAAAAATCTATTGTGTTCAGGAATAAGATCACTTCAAAATGTCTAGTATGTGGTAATTGATGCCATTCAGCCTGTGGTGTAATTAATGAAAACATCTGCCTGTTGTTGTCATTGTACAAGAGAAAGGCATCCATTGAGAAAAGATTCCTATAGAGAAAAGATTCCTCACAAGGCCATCCTCTGTGGGGATGATGATCTGGAGGAGGGTCAGAAAGCCAGAAAACACATAGTGACTCTGAAAGGCTCTGAAAGGCTATAGCCTAGTAGCCTTTATAGTCTGTCTGTATCTCCATTAGAGGTCATATGATGAAGGTACCATGAGGTTAGATGGAGTGTGGGATAGAATGTGCCCAACTTTGGTGGCAGGGGAAATACTGTTTTCTGAAGTAGAGATAGCTGATGGATGAAAGCTGGAGTAATTAAATATGTGTGCTGTGTTTGTAGAGTGAACAGAAAATCTTAAAGAAGTTCTTTCTAATCAGAAACATAAAATGGTAACCATGTAAAAGAATGGATATGTTAATTAACTATAATAATCCTATTACTACATATATAGATCAAAACACCATGTACACCTTAAATATATGCAATTTTAAGAAGAATGTGGCTAGAATGAAGTCAGTTTAAGAACAAGCAAGGACAGTTTCAGGAGTTTGCTGAGAAATAATGTGTCATGCTTCCTTTTGCAGTTGATGCATGGTATTGTGAATGTGAAGATTCAGGATTGAATGAAAACAACCTTTTACCTTGGGCTATTCCTCTAGTAGACTCAGCTACCACCTTCCTTTATGGTTAAAAATGTTCTACTTGGCTTCATCATTTTGTTTGACAGCCACTTAAACAGTGTATTTCATTCAGTGCCCAATAGGTTTCATCATCTTTGTGAACTCTGATCACTTGAAAGTGACCATCTGGGGTCCAGTGCCAGGACAGGTTCAGAGGCCAAGTCAGATTTAAGGAACAACTATAATACTGCTACTTATGTGTATTGTAGATATGGAAGAAGGAAATAAAGATACTTGAGTATGTTTGTTTATTTCTTTTTAAATTGAGGTATAATTCTCATAATTCACCCTTTTATGGTGTATAGTTCAGTGGTTTTTAGTGTAATAGAAAGGTTGTGCATGTAATACCACTAATATCAAAAGCTGTTCATCACCCCCAAAACAAGCCTTGTGCACATTAGCATTCACTCCCTATACCTCCATTTCCCTAACTCTTGTTTTTTAAATTTTTTTTAGTTGTAGATGGACACAATACCTTTATTTTATTATTTTATTTATTTATGTAGTGCTGAGGATTGAACCCAGTGCCCCACACATGCAAGGTAAGCATGCTACCACTAAGCCACAACCTCAGCCCCATTTCCCTAACTCTTGGCAACTAACAATACTTTCTTTCTCTACAGATTTGCCTATCTTGAGCCTTTATATAAATGGAATAATATGATCTCTGGACTTTTGTGTTTGGTTCCTTTCTTTTAGCATAATGTTTTCAAGGTTCATCTATGTTGTAGCTTATATCAGTATCTCATTTCTTTTTGCAGCTTAATAATAATCCATTGTATCCATCTACATTTTGTTCATCAGTTGATGGACATTTGTGTTATTTCTGTTTTTGCCTGTTATGAATAATGCTGCTGTAAACATTTGTGTACAAGCTTTTGTGTGAATATGTTTTTGTTCTCTTGGGTATTAACCTGGAAGTGAGATTGCTGGCTAATAGTAACTGTTTAACTTTCTGAGAAACTTCCGAACTGCTCTGCAAAGTGGCTATACCATTTGACATGCTTCCAAGCAGAACATAAGAATTTCAGTTACTCTGCATCCTTACATTTGTTTGCCTTTCTATTTTAGCCTTCCTAATGGGTGTGAAGTTGTGTCTTTGTGGTTTTGATGTTCATTTCTCAAATGACTAGTGATGTTGAAATCTTTTCAGTACTTTTTGCCTATTTGTGTATCTTCTTTGGAGTAATGACTTAAGCTATAATTGCAACTTCAGCTTTTGCCCTCAGGACAGTATTAATTGTATAGTTATGCTAACTGCTTTATGATTAGAGAATTGGTATTTCTGAGTTTCATGAGAAAGGTAGATATGGCAGCGTTTAAACTTTAAAGCAGTGCTCCTTTAATTGTGGTCATATAATTTGGGAATTTCATTTTTTAAAATATTTTTTAGTTGTAGTTGGACACAATACCTTTATTTTTACTTATTTATTATTTACGTGGCACTGAGGATCAAACCCAGAATCTCACACATGCTAGGTGAGCGCGCTACCACTGAGCCACAACCCCAGCCCTAGTTTGGGAATTTCTTAGTTTATTTTAGTACCTTGCAAAATAAATCTTCAAGCATATTTGGCCATTCAGTGGAATTTGTTATAGTATAGCCTTACATTGTTATAGCTCTGTTTTGTGTTCAAATCATTCTTGTGTATATAATCTTATTTATAGTCTTTTTTTAACCTTTATTTATTTTTATGTGGTGCTGAGGATCGAAGGGGCCTTGCATGTACTAGGCAAGCTCTACTGCTGAGCCACAACCCCAGTCCCTCATTTGTAGTCTTAATAACACTACTGTGAGAAAGCATAAACAGGTGTTATTATTCCCATTTGTAAAAAATAGAAAAAGAGACTCAGTTTGTAATTTGTCTAAGGTCACACAATTATTAGGTTTAAAATTAAATCACAAGATGTCTACCTTTTTATGGTAATAAATTATTAATCATGTCAAGGATTTTGGGGGGAGGGTGAGCCTACATTGCCAAAAATCAGTACTAAGCCTGTCTCCAACTAGACATTTGATTCTGGCCAAGTCCCACCGATCCTTTATTGACCTCAGAATTCATTATTTGGATGGCTATACTATAGAATGAATTGTAATTCTTCCGTTTAATACCTTTAGCCTGGAACACGCCAAAAGCAAAATTATTTATCACTGTGTTTACTATATTTTGAGCATAAGACAAAGCTTGGAGCCATAAAAAGAAAACAAGCAGCCCTTGGTTAGTTGGCCTTGGCCCTTCATGGTTACCTTTCCCCAACTCTGTATTTCTAAATTGATCTCCTTGGAAAACAGAAATTTTAAATGTAGAATGAATGAAGAGAAAGTGAGCTATTAATTTCAACCAAGTAAAAATTGACCTTGAGACTTAAGGTAACCAAAAGACATTATATTAAAAGTTGAACATTATTTTTTTTTAAGGGTACCGAAGAGGAGCAACTTTTTTTTAAATATATATTTTAGTTGTTGATGGACATTTATTTATATGTGGTGCTGAGAATCGAACCCAGTGCCTTATACATGCCAGGCAAGTGTTCTACCACTGAGTCACAACCCCAGCCCCAGATGAGCAACTTTTTAAATACAGTCTTGGACTGATTTAACCTATAAACAATCTTTTTAAGTGTTCTACCACTGAGTCACATCTGCAGCACTGTTCTAAAATTTTATTTTATGTTTTTTGAGACAAGGTCTCAGTATGCTACAGCGACTGGCCTTGAACTCCTGGAGTCGAGTGATCCTCCTATATCATCCTCCAAAGTAGCTGGAACTATAGGCACATATCATCACCCCATCTGGCTTATCCTTTCTATTTAACTTTAGTATTGTAGGGGTATACTAAAAAAAAAAAAAAAAGTCTATTGATAAAAAAGATGTGAATTTTATGAACTTTGGAACATAGTTACCGATTCCCTTTTGAGCCATGATATTTACTTTTATTTTTACCATCTTGTATATCTGTAACTTACAGTTTCATGTGTGTAATAAGAATTGTAATGCATTCCACTGTCACACATAAATCAAAAAATTAATTTAAAAAATAATTTTTTTAAATAAAAATAAAAAATTAAGGGGCTTGGGGTGTAGTTCAGAGGTAAAGAGCCCATGGGTTCAATCCCCAGTACCCATAAACAAACAAAAAGTTTCCTACTAGGACAGTTGATGAAATTAAAATATGAATTTGCATTAGACAATAGTATGATATAAATGTTAAATTTCATGATTGTGATAACTGTATTATATTTATAAAAGACATGTCTATCTTTTAAACTGGTATAATGCTTAAGGCTTGCAACTAGCTCTCAAATGTATTAGCACATAAATCAGTGACTGAATGAATAAATAAGCATAAGTATTTGTTACAGAGAGAGAAGAGACAAAGAGATTAAACAAATGAGACCCAATATTAACAATTGGTAAATCTAAATTTCAGTTAGATAAGAGTAATAAGTTCAGCTCTATTATACAAACATGTTGATTATAGTTAATAATAAAGTTTTGAAAGGTCTGGAAAATTGCTGAGAGTAGATTTTAAATGTATTATTACACACAAAAATGTAATAAATATGTGAAGTAATGGAAAAAAACAGTTTTAGAATTTAGAAAATGTGTGATATCTTTATGAAGCTTTTACTGTTATGTTGCATGTCTTTTCAAACTTAAAATTATGAGCCCTTCTGGTATGAGTCACTATCTTGAAAAGTTTACCTTTCTTTGAAAACAAAATGATATCAAGCACAGTACCATCCTCCATAGCGTGACCCATTTGCCTCAAATCAGCATCACACCTACTCTAATCACTTTTATCAGAACATTTTATGTAACAAAAGTTACATTTTAAAAAGTTAAAAAAAAAGCAGTGTCCTCTTGTTGGAGAATATATTTGTTAAAATTTGTTTACTTTAAAATACTTTAAAAAAATTATATGCACTCATGTATACTTTTTATTTTACATGATTTTGGGTAGAACCAAATGGTGATTATACTTATTCTCATGAATGAACATATAGATCAAGAAGACATGAGGATGTAGCTCAGTGGTAGAGCATAGGCTTACCATGTTATGAGGCCCTGGATTCAATGCCCAGCACTGGAAAGAGAGAGAGGTAGAATAGGACTTGCAGGTAAATGATTTCAGTAATTTTGTAGTGTGAGTTGATCCTGTCAGGAAACATTGGGATGAATAATGTAACACTGTTGTATGATTTTCAGTAGCAAAAGTTCAGGAGAAAGATAAAGCATGTCAGCAAAAAGCACAGTGGTCCATTCTCATCTGATGGTTGTAAAAGCCTTAAAGATAGTGAGTGTAAAAGAGATGAGGCATAACCATGAGCCTTAGTGTGTCTGTTGGAAGCCTCAAAATGTCATCAGCTTTTTCTGCCCTTACTACATTTCTTACCTTGCTTTTTCATCCTTCATATAAAAGATGTTTCTAGGCAGTTTCCATTTTAGTTCATATACATTTTGTCATTTATAAATGAAGTTCTTTTTTTTTCCCCCGAGACTGTTTTGGTGTTTTGTTATTTTTTTTTAATTTTATAAGTTTTTTTAATTGTAGATGGACAGAATACCTTTATTTTATTTATTTATGTGGTGCTCAGGATCAAACCCATACCTCCCATGGACGAGGTAAGTGCTCTACCACTGAGCTATAACCTCAGTCCCCTGTTTTATATGCTTCTTTGTCCCAAAAGGGCTAGATCCAGTGGATCTTTTGCAGCTTTTCCTTGGGTCTCTATCCTGTTTCCAGTGGCTTTTGACTGGCCTTCTGCTTCTTTGCTTTTATTTTTTTCTTTTGGTAATGAAGCCAGTCTGTGTTCAGCTATGCAGTTATAGGTCCATTTCCTGGGAAAGGTCTTCGTTCTCCTTTTAGAGATCCTGAAAACTGATTTTTTTCTAACTTAGGAATTCAATAATTCAGAAATGTTTTAGTGAGACAGAGGCCCTGGCGAAGTTATCTGCAGAAATCCTAAATTTGGATTTTCTTCTCTTTTTCTTTCTTTCTAAAAATTACAATTTTAATTGATGCATAATAATATATTTATAGAGTACAATGATATTTCAATATAAGTATATATAAACTATAATCAGATCACAGTAGTTGACAGAGCCATTGTTTCAAACATTTATCATTTCTTTGCACTGGAAGCATTCAGAATCCTATTAGCTATTTCGTGAGATACAGTTAGTTGTTATCAACCATAGTTATCCCACTGTGCTCTTACAGAACATTAGAAGTTATTCCTCCTATCCAGCGGCATTTCTATGAACTATGAACCACCCTCTCTCCATCCCCACCCCCACTCCTTACTCTTCCCTGTCTCTGGTAACCACTATTCTACTTTCTGCTCCTATGAGATCAACTTCTTAGTTTTCCACAATGAGTGAGATCACACAGTATTCACTTTCTGTGCCTAGCTTACATCATTGAACAGTGCCCTCCAGTCTCAATCACAACCTGTGCAGCTGACGGAATTGGTGTCCTTCTTTGTGGAGTGGGCTGGCTACAGAATAAAAGCTAAGAGAAAATGACGGAAAAAAAACCCCACGGTATATGGGAAGTAAATTTGAAAAGTGGGGGCAGGACAGCTCTTCCATCTTAGGGATCGAGCTTCCACACTGGAAAGCGAGATGGAGCCTGCGCTTGCTTCATTTACATGAGGGAACATCAAAGGTTTTTCATAGAATGTTCTTTGCCAAATAAGGTAGGAGATGGGCTGTCCAGTTCCCAACAGGTTACACCCAACTCCTGAACTATGAGAGTTCTTTCTAGTAGAGTGAAGACAGAGATGTCTTGCCTTGGGCAATCTGATACCCACGGGAGAGCTGGGATAGTTTCCATGGCTTGGTACTGAGTAAAGACCCCTCAAGTAGCTCATGGGTGGCTTTCCACCCTCCAGGATCATCCATCTTGACACAAACGACATAATTTCATTCATTTTCTGACTAAATAATATTCCTCTGTGTGTATATCACATTTTCTTTTTAAAAAATATTTTTATTTGTAAGTGGATCTTTTTAATTTTATTTATTTATATGCAGTACTGAGCATTGAACCCAAGGCCTCAACCATGCCAGGCAAGTGCTCTACCATTGAGCTACAACCCCAGCCCCTCACATTTTCTTTATCCATTGGTAGACTGTGATTCCATATCTTGACCCTTATGAATAGTGCTACAATAAACACATGAGTGCAAGTATCTCTTCAGCATACTGATTTCTTTCCTTTGGATATAGGTGTAGTGTGGGGTAGTTCTATAGGAACCTCCGTACTGTTTCTGTTATGGCTGTACTTAAACTCTCACCAACAGTGTGGAAGGTTCCTTTTTCTCCACATCCTCTCCAGCATTTGTTATTTTTGTCATTCTGTTAATAGCCATTCTAATTTGGGTGAGAAGATCTCTCATTATGGTTTTGATTTGCATCCCTCTGATGATTAGTGATGTTGAGCATCTTGTTGGCCATTTGTGTATCTTCTTTTGAGAAATGGCTATTCAGGTCATTGGTCTGTATTTCATAAAATTTTGTTGTTGTTGAGTTGTTTGAGTTTCTTATAAATTCTAGATTTTAATCTGTTATTGAATGATAATTTACAAATATTTCCCGTCATTCTATTGTTTCTTTACTCTGATTACTTCCTTTGCTGTACAGAAGTGTTTAGTTTGACATAATCCTATTTGTCAATTTTTGCTTTTGTTGCCATGCCTTTGAGATCATATTCAAAAAATCTTTGCCTAGACCAATGTTCTGAAACATTTTACCTGTATTTTTGTCTACTAGTTTCAGATCCTAAATTTAAATCTTTATTCTATTTTGAATTGATTTTTGTATGGTTTGAGAGATGGAAGTCTAGTTTCTTCTGCATATGGATATCCAGTTTTCCCAGCACCATTTATAGATGAGACTATCATTTCTCCAGTGTAAGTTCTTGGTGCCTTAGTTGAAAATCAGTTTGTTGCAAATACGTTGCTTTATCTCTGGGTCCTCTACTCTGTTTCACTGGCCTGTGTATAACCAAAACAGTACTGTGCTGTTTTGGTTACTGTAGCTTTATAGTATGTTTTGAAGTCAGGTATTTTGGTACTTCAAGCTTTGTTCTTTTTTCCAGGATAGCTTTGGCAATTCAGGATCTTTTGTGGTTCTACACCAATTTTAGGAGCATTTTTCTCTTTCTGCTAAGAGTGTTCGTGCCAGCCAGGCTTGGCAGCATACACCTATAATCCCAGCAACTCAGGAGGCTGAGTCAGGAGGATTGCCAGTTCAAAGTCAGCCTCAGCAGATTAGTGGGGGCACTTAGCAATTCAGTGAGACCCTGTCTCTAACAAAATGTAAAAAAGAGTGGGGATGTGGCTGAGTGGTTCAGCGTCCCTTGATTCAATCCCTAGTACTGGAAAAAAAAAATGTTCATGCCATTTTGATAGGGATTGTTGGTGGTTGTGGTTATTTTTTCCCTATATTGAATTTTGAGAGGTTTTTAAAAATGCATTTTGGATATGAGTCTGATATCAGTGTATTGGAAATATTTTCTTAGTCTCTGGCTTGCTTTTTTATTTTATTAATGGTATCTTCTGAAGAGGAGATTTGAATTTTGATCAATTTAACTATTTTTTTTTTCTTTTACGGTTAACATTTTTTGAACCTTAGAAATCTTTGCCTACTCCAGGGTATTAAAACATTTTTCTCCTATGAGTTTTATCTTCTTAATTTCTACATTTAGGTCCTTGATCCATTTTCATATTAAATTTTGCGTATGACATGAGGTATAAAGATCTGTGGGAGTCCAACCTTGTATGTGACTGAGTTACACTCCCCAGCTGGGTGCTGAGGTGCTCAGTCACAAAAATGTGACTTTCCCCACCTTTCTTGGGCTCGAGGGTCGGTGTCTGGTGCATGGGTGTGTCTTGCTACAGCCCCATGGGTGAAGCTATGC